ATCTGATTCACATGCCACTGCTCCCCTTGATCTAATTCACACAGATGTCTGGGGCCCTTCACCTATAAATTCTACATCAGACTTCAGATTTTACATAATCTTCATCGATGACTTCAGTAGATATACATGGATATACCCCATGAAAAATAAATATGATGCATTAAACTTGTTTATTCAGTTTAAGAGCCTGACAGAAATAAATTTGAGAGAAAAATCAAAACACTCCAATCAGACTGTGGAGGTGAATTCAGAGCCTTCACGGAATTTGCACTTAAGTCTGGTATTGAAATGCGTTTTTTTTGCCCTCATACTTCAGCTCAAAATGGAAGATCTGAGAGGAAACACAGATACATAACAGAAACCGGACTGACCCTCCTTGCTCAAGCCAAAATGCCTTTGCATTATAGGTGGGAAGCTTTCCACACTACTACCGTTTTGGTTAATAGATTACTGACACCTATTCTAGAAATGAAAGCACCCTTCCATGTTCTAAACAATCAACAGATAGACTATAAATTCCTTAAAACCTTCGGCTGTGCCTGCTTCCTATGTCTCAGACCATACCAAGCTCATAAGTTCAGTTTTCACTCCACCAAATGCGTTTTTCTTGGCTTCAGTAATGCACACAAAGGGTACAAGTGTCTCAGCCCAACTGGAAGAATCTACCGATCCAGACATTAGTTTTTAATGAAAATGATTTCCCCTTTCATTCTGGTTTCCTCAACAAAAGAAGCAAGTCACAGAATTCAGAAATTATCATCCAATACCTTCCTCTTCTCACTCGTTTAAATCATAATCCACCCTGCTCAACTGATGAAGCTCATCCTGATGTAACTCCAACAGTGGCTTCTTACAGTCCTGATCAACCAGTATTAGATGAAAATGTGATGTCTGATGAGGTTTCAAACACTGAGATTAACACTGAAAATGACTATACTGAAGTGCAAGAAGATATCGTGAATACTCAGTCAGAACCAACAGAAGTGAATAATGAAATGTTCCCAAGAGTGGAAGAACAGGGAAATCAAGTTATAGAGCACCCTATGATCACTAGAAGCAAAGCTGGCATATTCAAACCGAAAGTTTACTCTGCTCATTGCAAAGAGTATAGTCCTCGGCAGGACAAATCTGAGCCTAACAGTGTTGCTGAAGCCTTGTCGATCAATTGTTGGAGGGAAGCTATGGAGGATGAATACAAAGCACTAATGAGGAATAAAACCTGGGAACTTGTACCACAAATGATCAATCAAAAGGTGATAGGAAATAAATGGGTTTTCAGAGTCAAGTGTGACATTGAAGGAAGAATTCTAAAGCACAGAGCAAGACTTGTTGCGAAAGGATTCTTGCAACCTCGGGAATCGATTATTATGAAACATTTAGTCCAGTTATAAAGGCTTCAACATTGAGAGTTATACTTACTCTTGCAATCTCGAAAAACTAGAATATCAGGCAAGTTGATGTCAACAATGCCTTCTTAAACGGAAAGCTTGAAGAAGAGGTCTATATGAGGCAGTCTGAAGGGTTCATCAACAAAGATAACGCTCTACGGACTTAAGCAAGCTCCTAGAGCTTGGTATGAGAAACTGAAGAAAATACTCTTGGACTGGAACTTTTCGAATTGAAAAGCTGATTGCTTCCTGTTCTACTACATGAATCAGAAGTATGTGATATTTGCCCCGGTATATGTCGATGATATAGTAATCACAAGCAATGACAATCAGAAACTACAGGAGTTCATTGACAAACTAAATGCTGAATTTGCCTTAAAGGATACGGGGGAGTTACATAAGTTTCTGGGAATTGAAGTCAGAAGAGAAGAATCAGGCATGCATCTGACTCAAATTAAGTATACAAGGGACTTACTAAAAAGGTTTAATCTTGAACGTATTAAACCTTGCTCAACACCTATGACAGCAGGAAAGATCATATCCAAGAATGAAGGTGTGCAAATGGAAGATCCATCCCTATATAGAAGTGCAATAGGTGGGTTACAATATCTAGCTCACACTCGGCCTGATATAACATTTGCAATCAATAAGATGAGCCAATTCTTGCAATCACCCACAGATACTCACTGGAAGGCAGTTAAAAGGATTTTTAGATACCTAAAAGGAACAATCGAACAAGGGCTATGGATACAAAGAGCTGACAGAATCCATCTCACAGGTTTTGCTGATGCAGATTGGACATCGTGTCCTGATGACAGGAGGTCTACAGCTGGGTATTGCATCTACTTAGGAGACACCTTAGTTCCTTGGTCCTCCAAGAAACAGCATGTTGTGGCTAGATCCAGCACTGAGTCAGAATACAGAGCTCTAGCACATGCAGCAGTCGAAATAGCTTGGATTGAATCATTACTGAAAGAAATCAAGTTGCACATTGATTCATCTCCTGTACTGTGGTGTGATAACCTTGGTGCTAGTGCCCTGGCCACAAATCCAGTTTATCACGCTCGAACCAAGCATATTGAATTAGATGTCCACTTTGTCAGGGACAAAGTTCTTGAAAGAAAGTTATGCATTCAATATGTTCCCTCTTCTGATCAAGTTGCTGATCTGCTGACCAAACCATTGTCACATACCAGGTTCCTATTTCTAAAGAGCAAGCTAGGAGTCAAAAAATGAACTCTAGCTTGAGGGGGAATGTTAAAATTGTATGACACTTCAACCAGGATTGCAGCATACCAGCTAAGATAGCCATTGGACGTGTTTCTTTGCTTTGTCATCAGCTGATGCTGATGTATGCTGATGTGTGCTAAAGGGGTGAAAGATATCAGTTGTAACTGTAAATATTCTCTCACGGTTTTGAGCACATATGATCTGTTATCTCTTACTTGCTCACTACTCCAAAATACCTCTATATAATGTACAAATCACAATGTAATTATGATGAAGTTAGATCAATATTACTCTGATTTTCCTTCTTCATAATTTCAGCCTTTTTCACTCTAAATTTCAACTTGTAATAAAATTGTAATTTTCTTCATTCAACCTTTACAGGTAGCAAGACTATGATCAATATGCAAACAATAGTAAATAGATGTTAGCCCAAACCAAGGATAATCATGAGCATTCAATCACAAACAACAAAGTTTGCAAACCTAGAATGTAAAGACACAAGTTTTTATGTGGTTTAGTCAGTTGATTCGTACACAATGGCTAAGGAGGATCAGTATCAACCTTAAAGAAATAGAATGTCGAGAAAAGAAATACAAAGATTAGAGACTGAAAACCCAAAACTTAAGGCAAAAAGATTGAAATCTCCTTAATAGGGGATTAATATGAACCACAAAGGATGAAATGTATAAAACAGGATACATTCTATTATTTGCAACTGGGTTTGATTTGAGAATCAAAATCCTCTGTCAACAATTTATGCAATGTCAAGCTTTGAACTCAGGATGCATTATCAATAAAAGCAACTCGGGTATAAGTGCTCAATTAAATTTCAAGAAGAAATAACATCTGATAGAAAACGTGCTTGAAGGCAAATTGATAATTCTACTTTGCAAATTTAAATTACAAGCATAAAATTCATTTTTTTTTTTAAAGATTCTAAATAGAAAATAAAATAAATTATGGGTGCTCAAAATTATGAATCCAAGTGCATGCAAAAGGCAAAAAATCTAGAAACCAATATAAAGGAAAGAAGTAAAAGTATCTTTACAAACCTGAGCAGAGGATATTGCATATGCTTTGAGGTTGCAGTCTATGTAATAGCAGCTCACATGCAAATCACCCCCCGGGCAAAACCAAAATATAAGCCAAATAATGATAACGATAATGCTTTCTTGAATTTAAGTAACTTTTTTATCTGACAATAACACTAAAGTTAAAAAATTACTTTCTTTCAATTCTTGGGTAGCTTACTTATTTTGAACTTTCACTGATATACGTATTGTTTAACCGAAAACTTACTTTTTTACTTAGAAGTTAATTTACTTACTCAAAAGTAAACTTTTTAAGATTAGCCAAACATGTGCCTTCAGTGGTACCTGATTGTGATCTAGGACTGATCAAGCGGAGTTGAGTGAGATTCCACACTCAGCTGAATGGCCGCTGCAAATGAGTCCAACTCTCAAAACTCTACCTTTTTCTCCACCCAATCATCCACCACCCTCTGCTCAAATATTCCAGTGGATGAGGTTTTCACTACTCTCACTCCACGAAACCAAAGTTCATTCGACAAAACTCTCCTCTTAAAGCCTTCAAATGGGAAGCTCACAGAAACACGTTGTGAAGAAGACCGAGGAACTTTCTCGTTGTAATGAATTTTAGAGTTCAATGCAAGGGAATACAAAGACGAAGACACCACAGAATTCAAAAAGATAATCTAATTATTTTGAATTTGTTCTTTTATCTACCTAGGCTATCTGACAACGTGAGATAGTAGATCCCGATATTACTGTCTTTAACAAAAAACGAGTCACGGATAATCTCGAAATAAAACACACTAATTTCATGAAAAGAAAAGTCATGAAGTTTCAAATGTCAAAATTGAAAAAATATGAACGATTTGCCCAACGAAGACACGATAGGATGGTTTGCGCCAGTTACTCATTTTAAAAAGGACATTAGTAGTGGCAAAATTAGCAACATTTCAAATTGGTAATTGATCATATAATTGAAGAGCATAATAAAGCCAAAACAACCAGGCATTATTTAATAACAAAATGATAAAGAATAAAAAAATAAAAAAAAATAGAAATCGTCATTTTCATTTAATTTAATAATAAATCAAACATCCAAATACTGGATATAAAATTATACAAATATTTTATCTATTATATCTCCCAAATTTAATAGGAAAGAACTACATTAATCAAATGAAAATCTTCAACTACTATACATATTTCGGTAAGTACATGGACTGAATCAAAGCTATTCACAAAACAGAACTTCGTAAATCCCAAAAATAATGATAATAATAACAATGATGATGACGATGTCAATATGTTATTTTGTATGGTAAAAGGAGAAAGTTTCGGTAGTTATATCCAGTCAAGTCAGATCATCCTCTTCAAGTTCTTTAGCTTTTAGAGTTTCCTTCACTTGCAAGAGAAGAGTGGTTTTCCAAGTATCCTGGGAGAGACTAGAAAATGAGTATTGTGCCATATAGAAATAGGAAACGACATTATCTACAAGTTTACAGTTGAAAATACACAAGTCACTTCTACGAAATAATAAAAATAAGAAGTTTGGTTTTAGACTTTTTATAAACAACGCTCCAATTACTTTTATTCGGTATTTTATTGTGTTTGTGTGTTTGAAATGTAGGGTATTGCCACCACGTTGCCCAAAAGCCATAGCTCATGGCACTAACGCAGTCCATCCTCTATCACCCAGAATTAAGTCCGGGAATCCATCCAAGCCCACTTCCTACATTAACCATGCTCCAACTTAGTTGGAGATTAATTTAAGATTCAAGATCCCATTTATGTGATGCCTTCATAAGATGTGCAATAGATTTCATTGATTTGTTTTGTGGTTGAGATCTTTTCTAAGAGATGCATAATATTTTACATCAAAATCAGAAAGTACTAGAAAAATAATAAGATCAAATAAAAAAAAAAATTTACCAGCCGGGTTATGGTATCGAACTCCTTCACAGCAGCTGTGAATTTTGCAACATCTTCATCATCAACTGCAGCAGCCAAATCCTGATGAGCAGAAAACAATTTCCGTATCACATTAGCGAGGTTAATAACTTTATATAACTGAAGATAAAAACTAAAGTAATGCTATTTAGCATGTGTAAACACCATTCTAGGTGACACTAAAAGGCATTAAATGAGAGGTCAAATTAAATTGGTCACATAATTCCACATTTACCTGAACCATCGCATAGTGCCACTTAGACTGATGTGGGCATCAGTGGTGCTAGATACTATTATTCTAAAAACTCAGTATATAAAGCACCAATCTGTAAAAAAAAGCAGCCCTATGGCACCTTAAAAAATTGATGCATCAGACCAACATCAAATGAAATCTTACAGCTAAGAGTTTGTACTCCCGAGTCCTTGAGAAAGTAGGATCCATGTCCTATACAAGCAATGGAAAATTGTTGATTCCCCAGTATTACTACAGGGTGAACTAACTTCAGGGTGTAGATAAAAGAAGAATGTATACCTGATATTTATCCAGTGCATTGGTTATCGCAACAATATCTCCTTTACATAGTTGGCAAATTCCAGCATTAAGAAGATGCCCTCTAACTCCATATTTCAATAAATTGTCGTTTAGAGAGTGACGTGCTATCTTTTCATATAGTTCGATTGCCTTAGGATATCTGAATATAAAAAGACTTTGCTTATCCCACATAGATATGGTGCATGTTTGGCAAAATTATAATTTAAGTTGGTTGTATTTACTTTTTATTTACATATTTCATAAGACCCACATCTACTAGTCACTTTATCCACATATTCTGTAGGACCCATATCTTATTATTACTTAAAAGCACTTTCAAGCAAGCTCATGAATTCAAATCACCTAGAGTTTGGTTGGCACAACAATTATCATTAGTAACACCCTACTCATTATGTTTACATATTTCGTTTCTATGGAAAGAATAGAAATTCACAATGAACATGTAATTTATCTTTCCCAATTTGTTCAATCCAATAAATGAAAAGCAGTAAGTTCAAATTCAAAGTTTTGGGAAAACAAATCATAAATGAAAAAAAAAAGTGACACGGAATCAGTTGAGATCACTTACTTCCCTGACTGAGCAGAAAATTGCGCAACTTTCAACCTGCACTGATTTGCAGATGTTGTTGCTTCCTCGATCTGAAAAAGGTCTGCAGACCTCTCGAAATACAGAAGTGCTTGGTCAAAGTTCTCTTGCTGCTCATACAATTCGCCAATCTCCTAGATAAGTATTAAACTCAAGTCAAGTACCAGTTTAAAGGTTCATTATATTAAGACTTGAACTTCCATCTTAAGAAGTCAACCTTGTTAAGAGGAATAGCCCAAACGTTAGTACGTTTATTAACGTTCTTATATTTATCCGATGTGGCATTTATTCTTAACATACTCCAACAAGATGGTTCTCATTTGAGAACATTAATAACGAAATCCTTGTGCTCATTTGAGTCTTATTCGGATCGGAATCATTTGAATTTATCGGGTTTTGATACTATATATGCTATTGTATGACAAAATTGAAGGAAGAAGAAACCCTTCTTTTTCATATATTAAATTTTACAATTTACCCCCACATATATACACGATGTAGTGGGTTTACAAAAAAGGTAACAAGACCTAATATGGTTAAAAAAAAAATCTCCTAAAGAATCAAGGAACGTTAACAATTTTCCGATAGTCGGGATCGCTCCATAATTGTAAGATTTCACACGTTCTCCACAAAGATTAAATGCAAACCATTCACCAAAATTTCTTGACATGAAGAAAACAATAATTTAAAAATGAGGAATTCATTGGAAATTGGCAAGCATAAAAATCAAATGATTTAATACACCTTATGTTCGAAATATATAATTATGTCTTTCTATTGACATTTAGGGCATGTTTGAGCCCCATTTTTCATGTAGAATGCATTTTGGAATAGTAGATTGATGGAGAATATATGGATAAAAATGAAAGAAAAGTTTTTAATGCGTGATTGCAAAAAAGAGAAAGAAAAATGTATTTTGAAAAAAATTGGGTATCAAACAAGGTCTTCTATGGAATGTACCTTACAATACCGTGCAGCCATGTTGTGTCTGCTGATTTCCAAAAACATATTCACAGCCTTATCTAAACATGATAAAGCCTCTGCAAAACCACAACATAAAAAATACACTTCATCCGCAACTTCTAAGCAGATACAAATAACATTTTCCAAATCATTTCTCAAAGCTTTTCGATTAAAATTAATAACTATAATCATCATAGTCAAATGAAGATAATACACACGTTTGGGGGACGTTTTCTTGTAACAATTTGCAGCATCAACATAAGCACGCGCTGCTTCATGCTTGATACCCAACTGCAAAAAAGTTACGAGCTATCACATGCATAATTCTTTTAACAGCCATAAAAAGGCCAAATCACCAACCTTCAAATTACAGTTAGCCAATTTAATATTGACCATTGCAGCTCTATCCCCTGAGAAACACCACAATAGTATATTAGCATTCTAAGAATCTAAATAGAATTTCACCAAAGGTTAAACTCAATAGAAAAATATTCGAAGTAACTTTTTTTGCTCTAACCTGTGGGAAAATATACCATGGGTTTTAGATTTATCTGAAGGAAGGACTTTTATCTTAGAAACCTATTGGAAGGGACGGTGCAAGAGAAATCAGAGAAATGATCGAAACTTCTGTTGCCCCGAAAATACTATGAGGTGCTTGAAAATGGTTGACATAGTCGAGTGGCATTTTACCCCTAACCACGTCTCATCCGCTAATTCTAGTAATCAATAAAATTCCAATTGCTAATCAAGTTATTCTATAGTTAATGATCATACACTTTCACCCTTCAAAAAAGAAAGAAACATCAAAAACAATAAGTTATTTGCTAAGGGCCTATTTGTTGTAGATTTTTTTAGAATAAATTTGGTGGAAAATATGTTTTTAGAGAATATGGGTTAAAAAGTGGAAAAAATTATGGTTTCATGTGCAAAATTATTTTATCAAGAAAATATGAGGTTGAAAATGAGTTTGGGTAATATGAGTTTTAACGAATCATGTGTCATTTGTACTCTGGCCACTCCAACCAATTTAGGCCTAAAACACCATTCAGAGGTTCCACAGCAGCCAAGTAATAGCCTAAGCATTCTATATTACTGATCCAGATGATCAAATACTCCTCAAAAAGCAAAGTCACTTAATAACACTTGGAAAAAGAATAGAACCAAGAATTGCAATTTCCCTACTAACACTGTTCAGATTCAATTAGAATCAAATCGTTCATAATGAAACAAAATATCATAATTCCTTACATCAACAAAAGACAAAGCTTGTTAAAAGTAAAATCCCCAAGTCTGTTAAAGAAAAAAACACTAACCAACATATAGGACTTTAAGTTATTCCTCTAATATTGACATTTTACATAGAAACCAATGACTCAGTATCTGAGCGCAAAATTTCGAACGAGCAATTGGATCCTTTTATAGAATTCGATCAGTCGAAATCCAATAGCTAAAGTATGAGCCAGTCCTCTTAATAAAGTTAACATTTTAAAACGAACCCGATACTCGACAAAGGTTGAAATTTTCAAACAATAAATCGAAAGGCTCACACGATTTAGCGAGTTTAAAGGAAGTGGCGGCTTTTTGATAAAGATCAGCAGCATCGTCATGCTTAGAACAAAATAAACCCCAACAACTAATCTTCTTCTCAGCTTTCCTCTCAAACTCCTCTCCTTTCACAATCTGATGATCCCCCATACTGTTTCCAGCTTCTTGGCCTGATTGCAGGTCAAGTGCTTGAAGAAAGGTGAAAAGTAAAAACCGAAAGCTTGTGAAAGATATATTTCACTATTAAGTCATTAACTGCAATTGGCTGTGAAAATACATTCATATTATCTTACAATTCAAAATTGAGGGGTTGATCAATTGGTTTGATTTTGAATTTGCTTTCCAGTGGTCAGTCTAGGTGCTTGCAACATGACATTGACATGATTATCGAAAACAAAAAATCTTCTGACAATGCTACATCTACGTAAAGTTGAAACATTCGATTTAAATTTTAATACATTGACGTTGACGATACCTTTTTCAATCAACAGTCAAATTTGTGCCAATCAAGAGGTACAAAGACTTTGTACATACAAGGAATTTAATCATTATCTTATTGAGTTAATTAAATAAGTAACTATTTATAAAAAAAAATGTTACTCATTAGTCACTTTTCTATTTAAAAGGTTATTCATTTATGAGTGGAGTGAAATTCATCGCTCTCATTTGACAGAAATTGTCATGGGTCAAACAGAAAGCGGATGTGAAAAATTGACGACATTTAATTGTCGAGTTAATTAAACGAGTGCTCATTAAGCTCATTTCTATGTTACTAACTGCTCACAGAGAAAAAAAAAATGGTCACAAAGTTTGACTACATGAATGAGCAATATGTAACATTTTGTTTGTTCAGTGAGCAATTAGTAACATAGAGATAAGTTTAGTGAGCATTCATTTAATTAATTCGATAATTTAATGTCATCAATGTATCATCTCTGATTTTTATCGGACACAGTAATTTTCATCAAGTCGGAGCAACGAATTTTACTCAGGTGATGGATGGATAATTATTTGAATAGACAAATAAATAATTTATAACTTATTTGTTCTGTAAGCAAATAGTAATCTACGATAAGTTTAATGATCATTTATGTAATTAACTCTTATCTGACGTTTATCCTATTCTAGCTTGTTTTGTTTATTTTTTGGTATTAATCATAAAATTATTATATCATCATGGTAGCTAAAAAATGGGACCTAAAATTTCATCACATTTTGTCACAATTGAGACTATAAATATTAATGTGTTAGTATTAATGTTTTAAAATTGACCTGAGTCTTGATTTGCTAAAAGAATAGGGGGTCAGTAGGTTGAACCAGATTAAGTCGATCATCAAACAAAAAAAAAGAAGTTGAATAAATAAATAAGTAAATCTAGCTGTTCGGTTTTAATAATATAACTTGAAATCTCTTTTAAAAGAAAAAGTTAACTAAATGTTTTAGTTAAAAAAAAAAAAGATTGAACCACGAGGAAAACCATATATTCCTCTGTATGACGGCCATTTTTCACTTGATTGTCATTGGATAGTTGCAGGGGCGGAGCCAGCCGTTTGAAGTTGGGGGGTTCTAGAATTGAAGATATAGAGATGAAGGGGTGGGGGGCCACAGGGGTTCCCCCGAAATTTTTTTTTTGGATACCTT